ACATCAATGTCGACTTTAGGCCCCTTGATGTCCAACTCAGGGCCTTTCAGGTCACCTTCCAACTTGGGAACAGACACGTCCACATCCCCCTTCACTTTGGGGCCTTTGAGGTTCAAGTCAATGTCAGGCATGGAGATCTTGGGTGTCTTGAAATGCATCTCGGGCATCTTGAACTTGGGGCCCTTCACCTTCCCCTCTGGACCTTCAATGTCCACCTCTGGACCTTCGATGTCCATCTTCGGGCCAGAAACGTCCAGGTCTCCTTTCGGCAGGTTCACATCCACCTCTGGGCCTTCTGCTTTGAAGCCAGGCATCCCGAACTTGGGCATTTTGAACTTGGGCATTTTGAATTTTCCTTCTGGTCCGTGAATGTCCACATCGGGTGCTTCAATGTCGACTTTGGGGCCCTTGATGTCAAGTTCAGGGCCCTTCAGGTCACCCTCGAGCTTGGGAGCTGACACGTCAAGATCTCCTTTCATGCTGGGCCCTTTCAGGTTGAAGTCAACGTCGGGCATGGAGATCTTGGGAGCCTTGATGTGCATCTCTGGCATCTTGAACTTGGGGCCTTTCAGTTTTCCTTCAGGGCATTCCAAATCAATACTGGGCGCCTCAATGTCTAGATGTGGCCCCTTAATGTCTATTTCTGGCCCTTTCAAATCTCTTTCTATCTTAGGAGCCTCAATATCCATTTCTCCTTTCACTTTAGGTCCCTTTAGGTTCAAATCTACATCTGGCATGGATAGTTTCGGTGTTTTGATATTCAGCTTTGGCATCCTGAACTTGGGGCCTTTCCATTTTCCCTCTGGTCCTCCAACATCTAGCTCTGGCACTTCAATATCTGCCTCTGGCCCAGAAATATCCATCTCTCCTTTTGGCAGGTTGACGTCTATATCAGCTCCCTCAAACTTTGGGCCAGACACATTAAAATGAGGCAATTTAATTTTTGGCGTTTTCAGTTTGGCTTCTGGACACTCCAGGTTGACATCTGGGACCTCAACATCTACTTTCGGTCCCTTGATGGCAACACCAGATTCTTTCAAGTCACCTTCTATCTTTGGAAGGGAAACATCCACCTCTCCTTTCATTTTATGTCCCTTTAAGTTCAAATCCACGTCTGGCATGGATATTTTAGGTGCCTTGATATTAAGCTTAGGCATCTTAAATTTGGGGCCTTTCATTTTTCCTTCTGGACATTCCAAGTCTACCTCAGGCATATCAACATCCACTTTGGGACCTTCCACATCTATTTGGGGGCCCTTCAGATCTCCAGAGGTCTTCAGGCCAGAAATATCTACATCTCCTTTCAGTTTGGGGGCCTTCAAACTGACATCTACATCTGGCATGGACAGTTTTGGTGTCTGAATGTTTAGTTCAGGCATTTTAAATTTGAGACCTTTTCCTTTTCCTTCTGGCCCTTCAATGTCCACACTTGGCACATCAATATCAACCCTGGGACCAGAAATGTCCACCTCACCCTTTGGAAGCGTCACGTCAACGTCGGGGCCCTCTCCCTTCAGGCCGGGCACCCCAAACTTGGGCATTTTCAGCTTAGGCATCTTCAGTTTGCCTTCTGGCCCATGGATGTCCACGTCTGGTGCTTCAATGTCAACTTTGGGGGCTTTGATGTCAAGTCCGGGTGCTTTCAGCTCCCCTTCCAGTTTCGGGGCAGAAACATCCAGGTCTCCTTTCACTCTGGGACCTCTCAGATTCAAGTCGATGTCAGGCATGGATATTTTGGGGGTCTTGAAGCTCACCTCGGGCATCTTCACACTGGGGCCTTGCAATTTTCCTTCCGGCCCTTTGACGTCCACACTTGGCACATCAATATCAACCTTGGGACCAGAAATGTCCACTTTACCCTTTGGAAGTGTCACGTCAACGTCGGGGCCCTCTCCCTTCAGGCCGGGCACCCCAAACTTGGGCATTTTCAGCTTAGGCATCTTCAGTTTGCCTTCTGGCCCATGGATGTCCACGTCTGGTGCTTCAATGTCAACTTTGGGGGCTTTGATGTCAAGTCCAGGACCCTTCAAATCAGCGCCTACGGTGGGAATGGAAACACCCACGTCGCCCTTCACTTTGGGGCCTTTCAGGTTCAGATCAACATCTGGCACACGGACCTTGGGGCCCTTCAGTTTTCCTTCCGGCCCTTCAATGTCCACACTTGGCACATCAATATCAACCCTGGGACCAGAAATGTCCACCTCACCCTTTGGAAGCGTCACGTCAACGTCGGGGGCCCCTCCCTTCCGGGC